AGAGCCAGGAACTGCAGCTCTGTGTCCCAGACTGACCCCCGGTGTCAGAGCCGGGAACTGCAGCTGTGTCCCAGACTGACCCCCGGCGTCAGAGCCGGGAACTGCAGCTGTGTCCCAGACTGACCCCCGGCGTCAGAGCCGGGAACTGCAGCTGTGTCCCAGACTGACCCCCGGCGTCAGAGCCGGGAACTGCAGCTGTGTCCCAGACTGACCCCCGGCGTCAGAGCCGGGAACTGCAGCTGTGTCCCAGACTGACCCCCGGTGTCAGAGCCAGGAACTGCAGCTCTGTGTCCCACACTGACCCCGGTGTCACAGCCGGGAACTGCAGGTCTGTGTCCCACACTGACCCCCAGTGTCACAGCCGGGAACTGCAGGTCTGTGTCCCACACTGACCCCCAGTGTCACAGCCGGGAACTGCAGGTCTGTGTCCCACACTGACCCCCGGTGTCAGAGGCGGAAACTGCACTAACCAATAAATTCCTTTGCCTGCCTCTTTCATCCTCTGTGTCACTCCCTCTCCCTCACCTTCTCTCTCACTCCGCCGCTTACCCTCTCTATGCTCTGTTACAGCTGAGTGATGACCTAAAGACCAATCTGCGAGTGACAATGATAGAGAAGTACAGGATGCCAGACCAGATCCATATCACCAAGGCAGTTGACAAACTGCAGCAAGAAGTGAGTTGACATTCCAGAGGAGAGAGGAACTGACCGGGGAAAGCAGACCCCAGCGAGAGAGAGAGTGCACAGACAGGGAGGGAGAGTGCAGACATGCTGTGCGGATGGTGGCGAGGGAGACGGAGGAGAGGAGAGGGACAGAAGAAAGTGAGAAAGTGAACACGTGTTGGGGGGGAGGGGAGAGAGGGAGAGACCATGGCATAGATAGAGAGAGAAAGACGGGCCACATGCAAAGTTCAATAGTTAAACTAGTTTTCTAAGGGATGGGTGGTAGCAGTTTAAAGAGTTACCAATGAGAGAAGAAACAAGAATGATTAACCTCATTACCTGAGATGGGGTGGTAAATGTTTAAACTGGTTGTCTGAGAGTGAGTGGGTCGGGCATGGTTAAAGTAATTATTGGAGAGAGAGGGAGGGGCAGATGGTTAAACTAGTTATCTGAGGGAGAGGGCATGGAGAGCAGATAAACTAGTTATCTAAGAGAGAGGAGTTGGGGAATGGTTAAACTAGTTATCTGACAGACAGGGAGTGGAGAATAGATAAACTCCTTATCTGAGAGCAAGGTGACAGACAACAGTTTCACATGAAATCAGAGAGAGTGGTGGTGGGGATTGGCTAAACTAGTTATCTGAGAGAGAAGTGTTGGTAAATAGTTATGCTAATTAACTGATAGAGTGGGGCTGAGGAACAGTTAAAATATTTATCTGTGAAAGAAAAGGTGTGGTGGGCAGTTATCTGGGAGAAGGGGTTTGGAGGACGTATCAGATAGAGGGGAATGGGGAACAGTGAAACCTTAGGAAGAACAGGTTGGGAAGGGTTGGATGAATAACCTGAGAGCGAGGAGTTGGGAATGGTTAAATTAGTTTTCTGCGAGAGAGGGTGTGGGACAAGGTTTAAGTAGTAGTCTAAGAGCGGGGTCAATGAATGATTAAACTAGTAATCGGAACAGTTGGTGAATGGTTAAACTGGTTATATAAGACAGGGTTTGGGAAATGTTGTGAAATGGTATAATCACTTACATGTGAGAGGAGGGTGGGGAAGGGTTAAACTAGTTATCGGAGAGAAGGGGAGTGGGGTGACATTAGTTATTGGAGAGGGGAGTTGGGAATGGATAATAGATTATCTGAGAGAGAGAGAGACAGAAAGAGTGGGAAACAGTTAGACGGATTGGGGGAATAGTGGACTAGTTATCAGGGATTGTGGTTAAACTAGTAATTTGAGAAAGGGGAGGTGGGGAATGGAGAACATATTTATCTGGAAGAGGGGCTGGTAAAGCTAGTTATTTGAGAGGGGGGTGCTGGGAGGATGAGTGAGAGTCTGGTGGTAACAGTTGGATGGAGAGCAGATTGGTGCTGGCCTATGGGTTGAGTGGGCTGTGCCCTCAGTAAACTCACACCGTGTGCCCCCTCTCTCGCCTTGTCAGTTCCGTTGCTGCGGCAGCAATAACTCGAAGGACTGGCAGGAAAGCCGCTGGGTGACATCGGGGCAATCTGGAGATCGGATCGTACCTGACAGCTGCTGTAAGTCCATGACAGTTGGCTGTGGTAAAAGAGACCACCCATCCAACATCTACAAGGTGGAGGTGAGTGAGTGGGGGGGGGGGGGTCCAAGGGGGGGTCCAGGGCAGGGGGCCCGAAAAGGGGGGGGGGGGGGGGGGGGGGGCCAAGGGGGGGGGGGGGGGGTTTGGGTTGGGAGAGGGCCTGAGGGAGAGGGGAGGAGGGATGGGAGAGGAGAGTGGGTGGAAAGGGGAGAGGGATGCAGAAGGCCATGTCTAAAGAAAATTGAGAAATTAAGGCCAATTCTTCCACAATTTCCACTGTCCATTCCCTCCACGTCCCTGGATAGTTCTCGGCTGGTCTCTGGCTACCTATCCCAGACATTGCCCTTGATCAATCTTTAGCCTGTTGAGGATCTGAACAACTTTCTGTTTCACCACAATGTGGGCTATACCACCTTCAGTAAAGACAATTGTATTGTATTAATTTAACCTGTTGGCCAACAGCCCTGGGTCCATGTATCAAATCCCTTTTGGCTCCATGTGTTGATCTCACTCCTCCTCTTTGGCTCTGTTTTACTACTTTAATGGTGAGAGAAGCTGTTTAGATAACGTTTCCTGTTAGCTGTTGGCCTTTTCTCACACACTTTCTTTGCTTTTCTTTCTTGTCCTTCAAACCTTCTGTATTCAGCCTGGTTTATGATTGCGTCATCCACCTGTCATCTCTCAAATGCACCCTTCTGTCTACTTCACCTTCAGCTTTCATTCTGTACAGACAGCTCCAGGTTTGCTCTCTGTGTCTTTTCACCTCATGGGAATGTACCTTGACTGTACTATCTCCTCTTTTAAAGACAGAATAGACCAAGCAGCTGACAATCTTTGATTCCAGTTTCTCTGGATCAGATCCATTCTCAATCCATTGAAGACCCCTCACCACTGATAGTCATTCTGGATTGTTCCTTGTCTATAGATACCCTAAACCTTACAATGTTACGATCGCTGTTTCTTTACGAGATGGTGTGGGTTTCATTCTCCAGAACCCAATCTTCTTCCTTATTGAACTGGTGACAAACAAGCACCTGAGCACACTTTATGGATTCTTTTGCTCTCTGTTATTGCAATTCCAGGCTGTATTTGAGTAGCCAAAGTGCGCAATTGTTGCAACTCTCTGTAATATCTTTGTACATCTTTCCTGTGAGTGAGTGGCCTATGGAATTCACCCAATAGTTTGATGGTAGCCCCATTATTACTTGGGTATAACAAAATAAATCTTCCTCGTTCCTCTGGTCTTGCATATTTTCCTTCATCTATATCCTCACCTTCCCTCTGTTTCCCATCTTCCCAGACAATATTTCTGCAGGAATATTGTAAGCCCAGCTTTCCTTTAACCCAGCTCTCAGTTACAACCCCGATAACATATTTCCCTGTTGTAATCTGCATCTGTAACTCATTTTACCTCATTCCAAACTTTTACATATACTCCTGGAATGCATCACATAAAAAACAACACTGCAGAAAATACTGGGCCGTATCTGTGGGGAGAGAAAGCGAATGAACCTTTCAGCTCTGTCACCTTCCTTTAGGAGCCTTGTTTAGACTTCATTGTTTCTCAATTTGTGTCCCCCACCTAGCACCTTCCCCTTTCTACCACCATTCTGATCTGCTCTTCCCTAGATCTCCTTGGAGATAGTATAACTCCCAACCACTGTGCTGTCAGTTTAAACCCTCCCTAGCACCACCAGACAAATCCCAGTCCATTCAGGAGAAACTTGGCCTCCCTGTAAAGATCCCAACTTTCCCAGATCTGGTTCCAGTGTCCCAGCAAACTGAAGTTTTCCTCTCCCTTGCCCAATCTTTGCAGCCATGCACTTTACTCTTGTATTTGTAAGATGACTGGCACGTTGTACTGGCATTAACGCAGAGAATGCTATCACTGAGGTCCTGCCTCACCTTCAGGAGCACAGTGCCCCTTACGGCACTAATGTGGGATGGTGTCCTGTCTCAGGCCCTGCTCTGTGCCAGGAGCTGGGGCCCACTATGCTGGAGTCATGCCTGTAGCCACTGGAAGGGCTGTGTGTTCATAGTGACTGAGCTGTGCTGCCCCGTTTTACAGGGAGGCTGCATTACCAAGCTGGAGGGTTTCATCATGGCCCACCTGAAGATTATTGGAGCAGTGGGAATAGGAATCGCCTGTGTCCAGGTAGGAGCACTGTTATACACAGCCAACGGAGACCATTCAAACCAGCAGCTTCCCCCCCTACCCCATCCCCTGCGCCTGCTCCTTCAGCCAATAGGATCCCAATGTGATTTCATTTGGTCCCAGTGTGGAGCTGTCTGTATGAACTCCCCCATGGTCCCAGTGTGGAGCTGTCTGTATGAACTCCCCCATGGTCCCAGTGTGGAGCTCCCTCTGTGCTGCCCATGGCGGGTGGGGGCGGTGGGGGGGCTGCAGGTGTTGGGTACTGGAGGATCGTGTGAAGATGCTGTGACCATGAAGACTGTAGAAAGCTGATGCCACGTTTTGATCTTTACAGATCTTCGGAATGATTTTCACTTGCTGTCTGTACCGGAACCTGAAAGCGGACACTCCCTACTAGAGCTGGGACTTACCTACATCTTCCTGTCAGCATTCCCATCTCACCATTCCCGTTCCTTTGCTCCCCAACAGGATGTGAGACGAGAAGCCTCAGAAAGCCTCGGCCCCACTGACCCTCCTCTGGGATGGTGTCCCCACCCCTAGCCAGACTGCCCCCCCCGAGACATTCCCCAACCCCACTGTCCCTCCTCTGGGACATTCCCCCACCCACCCCCAGCCCCTCTGATCCTCCTCTGGGACGTTGCCCCCAACCCCAGCCCCGCTGTCTCCCCTCTGGGATGTTCACCCCACCCCCAGCACTATTGCCTAGCCTTTGTAGAGCTCTGACACTGGGCCCCTCAGTGGTGACCATGTACAAACACCAATGGGGGACGTCACTATGGGGCACTGGGCCTCTCGATGGCATGGCTGTCCTGCAGAGCTCACTCCTGGTTATACATTACAATGTCATAGGGAACTGAGTCTCCCCATCCCTCTTCACAACCGCCCACACCCTCTGAGGGAGGACGAGAGGGAGAGAGAGAGATTGGCCACTATGGCATACACCATGTCATACCCTGACAGCCCTCTGTTAGGTAAGGGGGCCATCATTCTGTGCCAATGGTCACTTTGACCTTATTTCACAGACCCTGACACCTACCTTTCCTTGCCCCTTTCCCCTTTCCTGGGCCCAACATGCCCATCTGCACCCCCCGTCCCCGGACACAGACACCCCTGTTACTCCCCACCCCCCCACCAACACACACACATATGGACACGGACACATGGACACACACACACACACACACAGACACACACATGGACAGACACACACAAACACAGACAGACACATACACACACACGGACACTCACAGACAGACACTCCTCTTCCCCCCCGCCCCACTCCCTCCCCGGTACAGACACCCCATTTCCTGCTGCTTGGGGTGACTGAGCAGAGGTACCCCCCCCCCCCCCCCCCCCCCCCCCCGCCATAGACACTCCTCTTCCAGACACTCCTCCAACACTCCTTTCCCCTCCCTGCAACCCCCCCCCCGCAACACACACACACACACACACACACACACCCCTGCCCCGAACGGCAATGTGAGAGGGAGGACAATGATTGTGTGTTGCTCAGGAGCCCTGGCCCTCTCAAGGTGAACACAGTCGCAAGCTACAGTTCAGAGCTGGGGCTTATGGGGTTAGCTCTCAATACCAATGCACTCTGCTGGGGGTGGGGTGGGGGTGGTTGTTGGGGAGAGAGAGAGATGCCGTTGGAGGGGAATACGGTGGGACAGATAGCTAACAAAACATTTAACATGTAAACTGGTGACTGTAAACTCTGCTGCTTCTGTGCTTATCCCGGTTGTGTGGAGACCAGCAGATTGGCAGTCCCTGTGTGTTTAAGGTGCTGTGGAGCAGAAGGTTGTCTCGGGATCTCTGTGGGACTCTGCTCCTTCCCTCTAACCTCCAGTTATTATTGTCTAGCTGTCACTGATCACAGTCGGGGAGTTCTACCACGCTGTATTTTTATATTTACTGTAGAAATAAAACCTGTCTAACACCAGACTCTGTTCTTGTGAGAGATAGCACAAACATCATGGTCCTGAGCACCAACATACCATGGTCGCGAGTGATAAAACACGCATTCAGCAAAACACTGACGTTGGCTCACTTCCGAATAAACCACAGCGCTCCCTGAAGCATTTCCAGGCACACACTCACCACAATACCTCATGCGCAGTCACTGAGAAACACTGCCCACTCACTGAAACACCTGTTACAAACAAGGGAGAAACACAAGGAAGTTTCTGCCTGATTTTTCCCATTCTTGGGAGTGCTGTGACACCCAGCAAACAAATACAAAAGATAGGTTTTCTCATGAAAAGTTTATTTATCAATCCCCATCTGCAGTTGCTACAGCGCATGCAGAGAAGAAAAAAATGATTACAAAAGAGGCAACATGCTGCTCCTCTGATGCTGCTTGGCCTGCTGTGTTCATCCAGCTCTGCACCTTGTTGTCTCGGATTCTCCAGCATCTGCAGTTCCTACTATCTCTGCACTTAAATTATTTTTGGAAAAGGCCGAAAAAGCCATAATTGTTTGCTAGTCTTTTGAGACAGAAGCTGGAAACGTGTACATGTATGTGACAGGGGCAAGAGTAGGCCTTGAGCCTGGTTTTCCATTCAGTAAGATCGTCTGCCATCTGCCCCCAATAGCACAAGATTCTCATCAGGCAAAGCACTTAATTTACTCCCACTGCCACCCCTCAAAGCAAAAGTTTAATGAATACCTCTTCCGATTTTCTGCCCCCATCTTCTGAGGGATAGAGTTCCGAAGTCCCACAAGCGTCAAGAGAAACATTCCCCTTCTCTCTGTCCGAAAAGAGCAGACCCTGTACTTCTGGATTTGCCCATAAGAGTCGACATCAATTTAATGTCCAACCATCCCATTAACCATTTTCTGAAGAAGGGTCCAGGCCTGAAACGTCAGCTTTCCTGCTCCTCTGATGCTGCTTGGCCTGTTGTGTTCATCCAGCTCTACGCCTTGTTGTATCAACCTTCTTCATTACCTGTTGTACCTGCATACCGACCCGATTTGTGACTCCCGCACTTAAAAAGAAGTCTCAATCCCTCTACACCTCAGCATTCTGCAATTGTTCTGTGTTTAAGTGCTCCTCTTCTTTTTCATTCTCTCCGCTTAAGCGGACAACATCGTACGCCTTTCCTCACATTATACTTCATCTGGTAGATTTTTGCTCACTTGATCAACTTGTCCATATCTGTCTGCAACCTCCTCATCACAACATGCTTCCCTATTTAGTTAGTTACCGTCCCTTCACTCTCCTCATCTAGATATTGAAAACCATGAACAATATAGCACAGGAACAGGCCCTTTGGCTCACCATGTCTGTGCCAGCCACGATTCCATTGTAAACTAATCCCATCTGCCTCACTTGTCTGTATCTCTCTATTCCCTGCCTGTCTAAAAGTCTCTTAAAAGTTGCTATTGCATCTGTTTCTACCAATTCCCCTGACAGTGCGTTCCAGGAACCTACCACCCTCTGTGTTTAAAAAAAAAACTTGCCTCGTAGATCTCCTTTAAACTTTACCCCACTCACTTTAAACTTGCACCCACTAGTCTGACATTTCTCTCCAGGGAAAGAGACCCCGACCATCCACCCTATCCGTGCCTGTCATAGTTTTATATACCTCTGTCAGGTCGCCCCTCAGCCTCTGATGCTCTAACGAAAGCAATCCTTTTATAGCTAAGACCCTCCAATCCAGGCAGCATCCTGGTAAACATCTTCAATGCCCTGTCCAAAGCCTCCACATGTAGGATTGAGCAAAAATCCCTATCATTTTAAATACTGGACCAAAACCCTGGATTTTTGACAACTTTTTTTATAAAATTAAAGAAAAGGCAGCTAGGCTATGCCCTGGGGAAATACACCATCACAGGGACTGCTGTGTGGGACCACTGTTCAGTTACAAAATCCAATTCACACCTCAACCCTAAAAGAACAATGATCCAGAATAACACAGACATCATGGAGCCTTCACAGATACCAAGAAATCCAACTACAATTAATACTTGTTCGAAGAAATACCAGACATTCCACCTAACTGGAATATGTTTGCACTTACTCTAAACTATCAGCAAGGCAATTCATCGCAAAAAGGGGTAACAGTAACACAATTGGGAAATGCAGGTGTTGGTGCCCCGAAAAGGAGAGTGATCCGCAACTACCAACAGGAGAAGGACTCCAGAGAGCTACTGCACTGAGATCGATCCCTGTGGCCATCTCCGACCAATGACTTTGACCTACAGACCAAACAACCTCTGAGAGCCACCGACCCGATCAACACCACAAGGCCCCCCCACACGTGCTCACAAAACTCACCAACAGCAAAGAAAACCAATGTACTCCCCCAATAAATCCACAACGCATCTTACCGCATCAATGGACACAACCCAGACTGAAGGCCTACACCATCTGAAATCTTCAGTGAAGCACCAGCTACAGCAAGTGGAAACAGCCAGCTGTATTTCAATATCGTGTTTATCCCCATTGGTGAACCTATTTCCTCGAGAACCCAAAGCTAGCAGGGAGGGGAAAGGTGGGTTGGTGACAGTGCAGGGCACCCTAAGGTCAGGAAGTCTGATTAAAGTATCTGTGTTTAAAGCTACTGTTTAGTTTCTAATAGTAATTAGCCTGTGTAAGTTAATAACTGATTAGTGTCAGTTTCACAGTTTTATATTTGATTTTTTTAATCTCTTGTAATTTATTCACCTTTGCGTTTATTGCATTTGCCTTTTATTTCTTGTGATATAGCCACCTTTGTATTTAATAAATGCAGAGATTTTTTTGCCCTGAATCACGTGTCAATGCCTTCTTCACTTCACATTCCCTAAATAAGTCTGGTGTCAGAACCAGGGATCTGGGGGTGATTCGACGCAGCTAAAAATCAGCAGTTTTACTGACTGCAAACCAGAATCCTTACACACATCCCTCCTAACATGTGGTGACCAGAACTGCACACAATACTCCAAATGTAGCCTAACTAAAATTTATACAGCTGCTACATGACTTCCCAACTTTTATACTCAATGCCCTGGCTAATGAAGGCAAACATGCTGTATGCCTTTTCTACTGCCTTATCTACTTGTTTTGCTACTTTCAAACAGTTTTGGACTTGCACCCAAGATCGTTCTGTTTATTAATGCTCCTTGGGGATCCTGCCATTTACTGTGTACTCTCCTTTTGCATCTGACTTCCCAAAATGTCTCACCTCACTCCTGTCGAATTGCACTCCATTTGCCATTTCTTCGCCCAGCTTTCCAACTGATTTATATCCTACTGTATCCTTTGACAACCTTCCTCACTATTCACAACACCACAAATTTTCGTGTTGTCTGTAAACTTATTAATCAGACCACCTACATTTTTGTCCAAATCATTTACATATATTTCAAACCACAGAAGTCCTAGCACTTGCAGAGCAGTGTAGATCACAAATCTCCAGTCAGAAAAACACCCCTCCACAGCTATTCTCTGTCTTCTGTGACCAAGCCAATTTTGTATCCAACTTGCCAACTCATTGTGGATCCCATGTGACTTAATCTTCTGGACCAGCCTACCATGAGGGACCTTGTCAAATGCTTTAGTAAAGTCCATGTAGACGTCATCCATTGTCCTAGTCTCATCAAACAGCTTCGTCACTTCCATGGAACAACTCAAATTTGCGAGACAAAATCTCCTCCGCAAAAAGCCACATTGACTATCCCTAAGCAGTCCATTCTTTTCCAAATGTAAATAAATCCTGTCCCTAAGAATCTTTCCAATAATTTCCCTATGAGTGATGTAAGGCTCACCAGCCTATAATTTTCTGGATTATCCATGTTTCCCTTCTTAAATAAAGAAACAACATTGGCTTTTCTCCAGTCTTCTGGGACCTTGCCTGTGGCTAAAGAGGATCTGAATTCTCAGCAACCTGTTCAGAGGCATTATGATATACCACTGGAGCAGGTAGGCCTTGAACCCAAGCCTCCTGGCTCAGGGGTAGGGACACTACCACTGCACCACAAGAGTCCCCAATCCCCTTAGCTATATCATTGATATAAACTGTAAACAGCAGTGTCTGGAGTGGGTATATAACTCACTCGGAGATAGCAAGAACTGCAGATGCTGGAATCAGAGATAACACAGCGTGGAGCTGGAGGAACACAGCAGGCCAGGCAGCATCAGAGGAGCAGGAAAGCTGATGTTTCGGGTCAGGACCTTCTGAAGAACTTTCCTGCTCCTCTGATGCTGCCTGGTCTGCTGCGTTCCTCCAGCTCCACACTGTGTTATCTCTCATGTCTGGTGTGGGATTTGTTTGCACCTTCCCAATCAGACAAAGACCTATATTTGTATGCTACCTGTTGTCTGCCAGCTAACCTCCTACTCATAATAATATATCCTGAGCTGCTACTTAGCACAGTCACCTTTGATGTGGCTGTCTTCCAGAAATCAAAGTATAGATTGCATACAGGCTCAGCCTTATCCACAGATTATATGGCTCTTTCAAAGAACACTGCATTTCTCAGCTGCTTTCAATTTAGCCCCCGCCCCCTACTGAAGATCTGACTTCCCTTTCACAAAACCGTGCTGATGCTCCCTGGTTTTTTTGATGTTTTGTAAGTCCATAGCAGAAATCTCATTAATAATCGAGTCTAGCACCCTCCCCATGACAGACATCCAGCCAAATGGAGTTTAGAAAGATGAGGGGGAATCTAATTGAAACTTACAGAATACTGAATGGCCTGGACAGAGTGGACATTGGGAAGATGTTTCCATTGGTAGGAGAGACTAGGACCCAAGGGCACACTCTCAGAGATAAGGAGAAACTTCTTCAGCCAGAGAGTGGTGAATCTGTGGAATTCACTGCCACAGAAGGCTGTGGAGGCCAGGTCACTGAGTACATTTAAGACAGAGATAGATAGGTTCTTGATTATCAAGGGGATCAAGGGTCACAGGCAGAAAGCAGGAGATTGGGGTTGAGGAACTTATCAGGCATGATTGAA